AGTTTCAACTTGTCAAAAGGGACTTATTTCTGTGGACTTAATCGCGCAGAATAAAGCAAGCTTTGAATAAAAATTTATATTTCGCGCTTTAGGCTTTAAAGTGCTTAACACCCAAGGCGATACGGAGCTTGGTACCAACTTTAATTTGATTACTACTTTTTTTAAAAAAAAATTGCATTGTTTGTCGTGGCCGCGTTGGTAATCTCTGCCCATTGAATTCTTTGAAATTTTTTAAATGTCTTACCATCACTGCACTCTAGTTGAAATAGAAATCCAAAGATAAGGAACCCAAGGCCCGCGGTCAACAGGAGGATGACCACAACGGCTGACCGCTCTAGTGACTTTCTTGTTGCGCGGTTGGCTTTCCTGTTCCACACCCAGCATCCGTATCGTCTGCCTCTTGCCGACTCCACGACTGGCGTAGGGGCGTCGTAGCGGACCACAGTGTTCGTCGTCGGTTGTGTCAGGCCGGGCGTCGCATCTGAAAGCCCCATTGTCGCTGGTTTCCTGTTGAGTAACGGGTTCTCGGTTATTCTCAACTCCGGCGTTTGCTGTGCTGGGGCGTCGACAATGAAACCTCCAACCCCGAGCAGCTGTTGAAGTTCTTCGTGGTTCTTTTCTGACGTTGATGAATTTTTTCTCGAGGCGTTGTTGCTGGTCTGTGTTCCTCCCGTCGGTGAATTGTTTGCTGACAGAACTCTAAGAAATCCGTTGTTGGTTGCATTGTTAAGAAAGAGTTTCTTATTGTTGTTACTTGTGGGGCTGTGATTTTGAGCCCCGATAATACCAGGATCAGCTGACGGAGATTCTGGACGTGTACCACTACCCGTTGACGACGGCATTTTGTTTTTGATCTGGTTGATTTTGTCGTGTGATCTTTAGCGCGTGACAGTTCCGCTTGGTGACGTCATTTACACTTCAAGTTACTGACAGGAAGTAATACCATTTAATAAACATTTTGCATTTTTATTTTATCTATGTGCATTTCTTTTTTGGTATTTCAAAACTAAAACATCAAACTGATCAAAATTGTTCATTTGTTCGACATTATGATACGTATTTTCTAAATCGTCTTCTGTGTCTGTTCACCATCAAACAATTTGTTTGCACTTTCAGTTCGTCTGTGATAAAAGAAAAAGAAACGAGAGTCACGAAATTAAACAATTGACACCGTTAAACCGTCAGTGTTGAAGCACTGTCTTGAAGCCTTACGATGATTGTCGCGATAGAACAGATCAGCTAGTTGGAAGATTGGTTAGTCACACGAGATGATAATGACAGTTGATGATTGCGGGTGATGTGGTCCACACGGACTCAGGCATCACACTGAGAGCGGCAGTCCCTGTAAACTACTCGGGCCCTTTATATATATATATAAACACAACGTTCGCCGATGTTACACGAGGCTGGGGCCACGCTGTCAATCGATACCACGTCACCAACAATGTTCCTAACACCAACTCAAATTCACCAGAGTTTTTTTTCTTGAAATTATGTCAAAAATGGCTTCTAGATAAATGTGATCGAACTTTTATACAACATTGACACCGATAACATGTTCATGTGACACTCGCTTAAGCACAATCGATCCTGTCTGAGCTCAGAGGTTCGCACACCACCCCCCACCACCTGAAGAGAAATTCTCTCCGACACTGTAGCCCCAACATGAATCCTGTGTGCGCTCGTATTTACACAGCTCACAACAAAATTATCCCCCCCCCCCCCCCCCCC